TTTTTAAAAATAGTGCTTTCGATACAAAAGTAATAAATATAATTATTTATTTAAAAATATTGTATAAATATATATTATTTATATATATATATATATATATATAGTTTATAAAATTATTTTGTATATATATATATACATTATATTTTGATATATATATATATATATATATTAGTGGATTTTGATTTTGATATATATATATATATATATATATATTAGTGGATTTTGATATATATATATATATATATATATATTAAATGGATTTTGATATATATATATATATATATATATTTTGATATATATATATATATATATATATTTTTTTGATATATATATATATATATATATATATATATATATATATATATATATAGTTATATATATATATATATATATATTAGTGGATATATATATATATATATATATATATTAGTGGATTTTGATATATATATATATATATATATATAGTGGATTTTTGATATATATATATATATATATTATATATATATATATATATATATATATATATATATATATATATATATTACTACTCAGAGTTTCATCTCTGCCAATTTTGGCTTCGAGTCCTCAGTTTATTTTATATTTTAAGCTTTAGGTAAGCTATTCTTATACAAAATAAGCAGCCCACATTAAACAAAATATTATTCGCCACAGAAGACAGTATCTTGAAGTGCATACAATATAATTAATGTGAACACATATTTTATCAGTATCATAAAATAATAAATAAACTGCATTCTTTTTATGCAGTCTTGTTCCCAATACACATGACATCATGCTAGACCATTTCAAATGTCCAGCTCCCCAAAGAATAGCAGGATGCAAACAAAGGAATTCTATTTACCACACAGACACCACATTGGTTCTTGATAATGACTGTGAAAGAACTAACAAGGTCTGTCTAATTCAAGACTTGAATAAAAATAGCAAAATATACTATCTATTCAACGCCTTTTCTGAAAATTGGAAAAATGCAATAAAAAATTAGACAGATTTTGTTAGTTCTTTTTAATGAATCTTGTCTGAATATATATACTTATTAAGGAATATACAAAATACCTTACATTGATTACACAACTGAGTTTCATGCCAAAGCGATTACTACGTGTCAGTATTCTTATTTTTAATTTATTTTTTTAATTTTTAAAAATAAAAATACCAGCACTTGATAATTACTTCAGTATAAAACTCAGAGTTTTACAATCAATGTAAGGCATTTTGTATATTTCTTAATATATATTAAATAGCTCTGTTATTTAACATTGTGCACTGTTTTTTCTTACACTATAGAGTATTCATATATATTTGTATACAATCACCCACTCATACATCTACCTATATTTACCCATTTGGATATATATTTCTGAGATGAGGTATTATGTACACTATTTACATTATTTGGACTATTGTCCTCATCTTTGTTGCCATGTTTATCAAAAACTTTACATACACATGCTCCAAGTTAGTGGGAAGGCCAAGACCGACTTTGCATTTCCCAACTCCCATTGATAGTGGAAATAATCGATTTTTTCATGCTTCTACGGCAGTTTTGGCCATTGTATGCTTCGGCCTTCTAGACCCCCCCCCACTAGAGGAGAACAGCATGTAGTCCATCCCGTGCAGAATGAATTATAAAGGAGAGACAGGCCACCCCCTTAAGGTAAGGCTTCAAGAACAGTAAAAAGCTGTAACACGAGGGGGAAGTGGAAAAATCAGGCATGTCTGACCACATATGGAAAGAAAAGGGAGATCACTGCCCTTAGGTTGAAATCATAGACAAAAAACATCATTGGAAAATTTGTAAACTTAAGAAATCAGCACATATACTAGGCCACAAAAATCACCTGAGCCAACCAAGCATAGAAATGAATACAATATGGTAACTAGTAATAAGGAGAGCCAGAGAAAAGCAATAATAACAATTAAAATTGCAATATGAGCTCTGGTAAATAATATGCAATGAGAAAAATTGCAAATGAGCACTAGTAAAAAATGAAGTTCATGAGTCCCAGAAATTCATACACAGATGCCCTTAAGGACACATGGCACAGTGGATAAAAGCGTTGGTTAGATTCAGGGACAGGATGCCAAAGAGTTGTGAGTTCAATACCTGGTTAAGGCAGTGGAGAACTTGGAGAGGTGAATTAACAGGAGAAAACTGACATGGCATGTGGAACTAGAACAGTTTACCCCAATGAACGGAATAAAGGGTTCAGTTCAACATTCCAACCACCTGAAGAAGGCTGGAGCGTACAATGACTGGAGCGTAGTGAGGACAACTGTCTGAATAAAATAAATAGTATATATATATACACACACACAGCTAGCCAATGGTTTCCTTATTTATTGTAAAGATACCTTAGCTACACCACATGACCAACAGTTTTGAAACTCACAATCATGATGACTTGTGACTTCATGCAAGCACAACTACTGACACTTCCCAATAGCTCAGCCTACCCAATTTAATTCACATAACTTGTGGTACCATTTTCAGGCACTTCACTTCCATAGAGTAGGAATGTCATTTTTATTTTATTTATTTTCTTCTGATTTCAATGTTGTGTGGCTGGAGTAATGAATTACATCTTGGACTGATAAATCAGAGATCTGAGTTTGAATTCCAGTCAAGGTTGTTACATTCATTTGTGCATGAATACTTTTAGGAAAAGGTATGAATTCATCTTCCCCCCCCCAACTATGGGTTGAATAGTAAGACTCCTATCTGGGAAAGTCATTGTTATCTACCAAAAATTGTTAATGCAATATCCACTTGAAGAAAAAAAAAAAATTATTCTTACAATCTCAGAAATGTGTTTTATATTTAAATAACCCACTAAGGGTTGATAAGCCATAAAAAAACAAATCAGTCAATCAACACTATCTTCAATGTTAAAATCAATAGAGAAAACTATGCAACATTTGACATATTCTTTAGAAAAAAAACATGGTGCCATGACTAACCACAATATTATCAAAAGCAAACTTTTTGAATGAGTTTAGTTAAAACTAAACACTGCTAATGCTATTTTGTGACAAATCTAGAATATTGTTAGTCAATCTTATGCACAAGGCCAATCTCTTCACTGCATTTAGTTTATCTTTATTTATTCAGGGGAGCTCAACCATAAAAACAACCAAACCTCAAACTGAACTCAACTATGGGAAATTCATAAATTATCCAACAGAAGATTAAATTCAAAGAAAATCCAAGCAGCAATTTTTGTACAGTGGCTGACACATTCTTCTACCAAGCTGTTAATCTTCTGTGCTGAAAAAAAAGGATGGCTTCATGCAAAATCCTTGAAGCTAAGAAACAAAAATATCAATGTATCATTTAGACGCGTATCATCACATTTGTTGTTTTGATCCTTATGTTTTTAGCTATTGGACTCTTTAGTCTTAACCAAGTTCGCATCATATCTGATAGACTTAATAACAATAACATTGTCATCTTAGAAAATGCTTTTGGTAATATTGGAAAAGAAAAGAGAAAAAAAAAAGTTAAATTACTATGATTTGTGCTAACATGGTTACATTATTCCCACTGGGGGCACCATATTTGGTTCAACATACTTATTTTACAAATAATTTTTTGGCAATATTTAACCTTGTGCCCACAAAAAAACAACAAAAAAAATGGTGAGTCAAAAGGGTGTTTTTTTTTTCTCTAACACTGCTATTATTTGAACTACCTTCAAGCACCTTGGCAATGTTTATTGTTTTAAAAAACGATGATTAGAATTTTAATAAAACCCAAATATAAGAAAGTGAATTTACATGTTTTCTTTGTTCTTGAGAATTTACAACAAAAATATTAAACGCTATTTATTTATTAGATTGTTTATTGAAATAATATTGCAAAATATTGGCTAATTTCCAATCAATTCAAACTTTATAAAATGGTAAATAATAAGCATTTCCTTATAGTTTGTTCACATATTTTTATAATTTAGTAAATGTTTATAAATTTATGAATAAAAATGTTCATATTTATTTCTTTATAAATTGGTAAATGATAAATATAAAATTATTCTTGTAAATAAAAAGCATTTAATATTTTTGTTGTAAATTCACAAGAACAAAGAAAATGTATAAATTCTTTTTCCTATGTTAAGGTTTTATTAAAATTCTAATCATCGCTTTTTGAAACAATAAACATTGACAAGGAGTGAAGGTAGTTAAAATAATAGTGGGGTCAAAAGAAAAAAAAAACGCCCTTTTGACACTGTTTTTTTGCAAGAAGAAAGATTAAACATTGCCTAATTTTCACTGTGGTACAATTATTTTGTTTCAGTCTATAAAATTTATACTTTTCCTTTTATAATTATTTTCTTTTTTAAAAATATGACTCCATCGCAACACAGAAATTTCTGTTTCAAAACTGAAACTAAAATTGTAAATTTAATAATAAAAATTAAACTTAAAATCCAGAATTTCATTCCATTGTCAAGCGATGTCAGGAATAACTTTCTAAGAAAAGTTATTCCTAGCATCATTAAAAGTTATTCCTAGACAATGGAACAAAACTCTGGATTTTAAGTTTAATTTTATAATTAACTTTACACTTTTAGTTTTGGTTTTGAAAGAAATTTCTGTGTGGCAATGAAGTCATATTTTTTAAAAAAGAAAATAATTATAATATTATACTCCACTCTTTGTATTGAGCACTGTTTTATTTATTTTTTTTTTTTTAAATAAAAATAATTGCTAAGAATACCCACCCAATTATAAATCTTACTGTTCTCTTATTTTAATATATGTACTTTTCTTTTTATCAGTTTAAAATTCCCCAGCATGTCTATTCTAGCTGGTACTTGTATTTAGTACAAAAGAGCACTTAAGGAAGGCTGGAGGACCCACCAGCCAAAATATAATGATCAAAACAAAGATAATGATACTAGCCTGAATGAGTTTTCAAGTAATTATATCTCAGATCTTATAAGATTTACAAATTATTTGATTTTCTTTTCATTATTCACCTTAGCAGCGGATCGTGTTTCCTTGCGCTTCTTGATCTTCTCTGCAGCCTTTTGGCTCTCTGCAGCAATCCGCTTGGCAGATTTTAAAGGAGTATTCATCTTCTGCATGCGTTTATTCTTCTTCTCCAGGTAAACATCCAATGGATCCTGCTTACTGAATAGTTTCTCATGGATCTTCTGCCAATCTTTGCCTAAACAATCAAAAAGAAGAAAACAAAAGGTACCTTAATCAAAAAGAACTACATTAATCCATCAGCATACATACCATAGCAATGGATCTTCCTGGGAAGTTCTTTCACACATAGCATGTTCTCTAGATTGTCATCTTCAGGTTAACACTTCTTCCATTCTATGCAACCCACTTTGTCATGTCATCAGTTCTAACAAGTTCAAAAGATAAAAAACATTTGGAAACATCATACAGCCTGACATACTATACTAATTTAGCTAAATTTGTATAACACATCAGGCTATATGATGGTTCAATGTAGGAAACAGGTCACATATGACCTCTCAGGCTATGTGACAGTTCCGTGTAGGATATAGGTCATATATGACCTATCAGGCTATGCGACAGTTCCGTGTAGAATACAGGTTTGATTCCTGTTAGAAGACACATTTTTTATGAAAATTTATTGGACATTCAGGCCAGTAAATGTTCTTAATACTGTTTATTATAAACAGAGCATTTACTTAAATATTTGTGTCTATAAAAATAATGTATAAACAGAAGATAACTTTAAAAAAATAATTGTTAGACTTTGTCCATTTCGTAGTGTGTGATGTCATTTGTTTACATTTGGATACACATTGAGAAGACATGAATGTATGAGAGAAATCATGGAAAGTTGTACTTTAAAAACGGTAAATTCAACCTTGCTAATCAGACGCTCCTCTGTAAATAAAAACATTCCTTGAAGTAATCATAAAATAAATACCAAAAGTTATTCCTTCATGATGAAATATACAATTTACTTGGAGAGTGGTGTAAAACTATAAATCCAAATAAAATACTAGGATGGATGGAGTATAATGTTATGAATTTATTAGGTTGAGTCATAAGTAATTTCCGTTTTTGGGAACCAATTGTAATGACGAAGATATCATGCTAACTACTAATCATACTTGGCAATTAAGTGGAGTACACTAAAATATGATAGATAGATAAGGTTGAGTCATAAGTAATTTCCGTTTTTGGAAACCAATTGAAATGATGAATCTATCATCCTGACTAGTAATCATACTTGGTAGTTATGTGGAGTACACATATAATATATATAATATATAACAAGATAGATAGATAGATAGAGTTGTGGAGTGATTTTGCAGTGGAGGCTTGTATATTTGTACTAAATCGGTCCTAAAATAGGTTCGACGTACAAAACGTTAGGAACTTGATATAATAGGCATTACACAGAGTAATCTTGTGGTGGTCGCTGATACTTTTGTATTCAACTCACTGTCGTCCGACATCGACTCACTGACTGACCCCCGTTTCTATTACTATTTCTACTTATATTAGGTGGTAGAGTCTATTAACTATATAATAGGTGTATTTCACCATGATAGATAGATAGATAGATAGATAGATAGATAGATAGATAAGGTTGAATCATAAGTAATTTCTGTTTTTGGAAACCAATTGAAATGATGAATCTCTCATCCTGACTAGTAATCATACTTAGCAGTTATGTGGAGTACACATATAATATATAACATTAGATAGATAGATAGATAGATAGATAAGGTTGAATCATAAGTAATTTCCGTTTTTAGAAACCAATTGAAATGATGAATGTATCATCCTAATTACTAATCATATGTGGCAGTTAAGTAGAGTGCATAAACGATAGACAGATAGACAGATGAGCAACTCAAGATAGTTATTTACATTAGTCAGACTGTTGTCCTCATCTGAACAATGTAAATAACTACAATACCTGATCTCAAAAATATAGACAAACTCAAGATAGATCGATATACTAGGTTGAGTCATAAGTAATTTCCTTTTTGGGGTTATCTAATAATAATGACGAATGTATCATCCAAACTGTTCTTTAAATATATCATCACAGGTGATTAAAAATTGGTTACATATGACAATGTTCAGTGCAAAAGGTAGTGAATTAACAAGGATAAATCTCCACAACTGACCCCAAAAGCTGAGCTCCATGGAAGAAAGCAGATGTTGTGCATATGACAGAATCATCAGAGTATTATTCATTTAGATTTTTTTTTTTTTTAAATACAATGAAATACTAAAAGCTATACTAAATGTCCATAAGAGTTTGGTCAAAAAGTGTCCTGTGCTTTTTTTTTTTTTTTTTTTAAGCATTTCACCCCTAAGCAAGGCAGGAAGCCACTAGGACGCAAGGGGTTACAGAAAATTTGGAGCAAGATCAGATAGGAAGAAAGGATGAGGAGAAGGGTAGTGGATAGATCAAGGCAACTGGGGATGTTGATTGACATTACACTTGAATAGCTGGAGATTATAGCTCTCAGGGAAACTGGAATAGGGAAGGGAGTTCTACAGGCAAGATGTGCAAGATATGAAGCTATTGGAGTAGAAGAGACGGCTACATTTAATAGTTTCAACAGTGAAAGGGTGAGAGTGGGATGCCAGCCTCATAGGGCACTTGAATTCATGAAGTCTGGGAACCAGTGAATGCAGCTCCTTGGAGCAATTACCATAAAAGTATTTGTAAAAAAGACAGAGAGAGGTGACAGTGCGTCTGTGAGAGAGCGACTGAAGACAAGATGCCAGATCAGGGGCAATTATATTGCATATCCGCCTCTGGATCTTATCAAGAACCCCGAGGCAAACAGAAGGGGCTCCAGACCATACATGGCAGCAATACTCTGTGCAAGGGTGAATTGTTGATTTGTAGCAGGAAGAATGTTGTCTTCTTCGATGATGAAGCAAGGACACATACAGCAAAAATAACAAAGAAAAAAAATGTTGGAATTTTGTTCTATCAGTCACTATTAAATATAAGTAAGTCTGGAGTTATTTATTGCTAAAATATGTCTTTTCTTTTTTTTTAATTATATTCAAGTCTGTAAATATTTACAGAGTTTGGGGATAGGTAATATTTTTTTGCTTATATTTAAGTCTATCAGCATTTAATTGGTTCGGGTATAGGTAAGTAGTGGTCATTTATTTATGAGTCAATAACCATTTACTTAGTTTGGAGATATGTAAATGCTGGTTGTTTATAATTGAGTCTGTAAGCATTTATTTGGTTTGATGATAGGTAAATATTGGTTGTTTATATTTGAGTAAACTCAAAAGTAGATTGATAAATGTTACTTATTTGTTCTTTATCTTATTCTGTTAAATTCCAATCCATATTTGGTCTGCATTTGACCCTCACTGTTGCACAATATGCAAACATGTATGTAGCTCATTAGTTGGACTGAAGTGTCACATATGAAATAAACATAAAAACTGAATGAGCCTGTCAGATCATCATTTGTCTATCACGTGTGTGTGTGTGTGTGTGTGTAGAAGAATAAAGAATAAGAAATAAACTAAAGCTACATGAGTTTCACCATCAAATTGAAGGACCATCAGGCCAAGTTCAAACTTTAACAAAGATTGAATCTGGCCTGATGATCCTTCAATTTGAGGGTGAAACTCTAGTAGCTTTAGTTTTATTTCATATTCTTTTTATATTTTATATGTTCTATTTTGTATTTAGAACTTTTTAAAATTTTATTACTAGCCTAAGTATAGTTGGATCTTGCCAGGTACCATTGTATATATATATATATATATATATATATATATATAGATTAAATAAATTTTATAAATTTAATGTTTTCAGTTTTATTTAGTATCATCAGAAATTTTGGAAGTGCAAGAATGTGGAGTTGTGGTTCAATTTTTTAATTCTATTAAACATCACTCCAAAATTTCTGATGATGCTAAATAAATTGGAAAACATATTAAATTTATAAAGATTTTTCTACAAATTCCTTATTTAATTATTTTGTTGGATTCAATCCAAATTTCTAACTCATGTCTGAAGAAGGAAAATCATTAAAAAATAAATTAAAAACCCAGAAAAAATAGAAATAAAATTAAAAAACAAAGAAAAGAAACTCAAATAAAATCATGGATGACAAATATTTGCAAGCAAAATGGCTGACCATAAAACTGAACTTACCTTTCAGAGCTGCCTTTTCTTCTTTTGTTTGTGATTTGTTGGCAGTGGAAAGAGTAGGGATACGGCTGATAAATTCTGAAGCAGCATTGGGGCTCATGATGGTCACTGATTGAGGAGAGAAAAAATTTCAATCAGATAATAAGAAATAATATTTTCCGAGATGAAAATAAAAATAAAAGGACAGATCTTTCTTCTTTTGTTTTAGAGAAGCACTAAAATTGTTGAGCCCAATTTGTCTGAGGCCAGTGATGGTATGTGAGTGTAAAAAGATAATGAACAGATGGGAGAGAACATCTATCATCTGGGCCAAGGACACACATATTCACATTTATACAATCAATCATCTCACCTTTCCATTTACTTGGATGTGTGTGTGTGTGTACACATGCAATCAGTCAGTAACCCAGACTTTACATTTATGAGTGTGTGTATATATATCAGTTAAAGGTCAAATGTAGATCAAATATGGATTGGAATCTGACAGGAAGATAATATAAAAACGTTTTTTCTTTATCATATATATATATATATATATATATATATATATATATATATATATATATATACATACATACACACACACACACGTGAGTAAAGACAAAAGGAAAACTTTACTGCAGCATTTTGTTCTATAATGCATTTTTATTAAGGCAAATGTTAGAATTTCATTTTGCAAAGGTTTCCAAAATTTAAAAATTTAAAAACGTTTATAAACATTCTTTAGGCTTACTGTGAAAGTCAAGGTAAACTATGGAGGATGCAAAGTGATATAATTTAACGCCTAATAAACGAAAAGTGAGTAAATGCTGTTATTGTTGTTGAATTTTTTTCTCTTTTTATAATGTAATTATTTATTATTTTAATTTGATAAATTAATTTTAAATAATAGAATGTTTTGAATTTAACTGTTTCCTAATAATTTTTTATGGTCATAGAAGTTGGCTTTTAGGAAAGGAGATATTTGAAAAATCCAGTAAGCAGATTTACATTTTGGTAAAATGCAATAACGGCACTCTCAAGAACTTTCTGTCTAAGTTGTGTGTGTGTGTGTGTGTGTGTGTCTCTCTCTCTCTTACAAATTGGTACAGATTTGGACAATTTTTTAACCTATACTTTAAAGGACAAACATACATATATGAGAGAGAGTAAGTGAGTGTGTGTGTGTGTGTGTGTGTGTGTGTGTGTGTGTGTGTGTGTGTGTGTGTGTGTGTTAGTTTTACATATAAGCCACTAATCCAGCAAAACACATACACCAACACATGTGCATACAGCTGAAGCAATATAAATTACATGCATACTGATTAAACTATACACACTCTTTATATATTCATATATACACAGTAAACTTACAACACTTCACTCATGAGTTGCTACATGCAGTTATACTTACATAATACTTATATATTTGTTTTTATATCCTAAGCCCACAAATGTTATTAATGAAAATAGATTCTATGACTTAATCTGTGTTTATTGAAACTACCCACCCCTAAACCACATATACGAATGTAAAAATAAAAAAAGGCCTTGTAATCAGATTATAATATGTGTTGAACACCAGAAACTAAATAGTCATTTGCGGTGTCTGCATGGAGGAAAGGGCCAAACAGCCACTGGCAGTGACTGTGTTGAGAGCCAGATACCTAATGGTGGTGACTGCTTTAAGGCCAATCCAGAGAAACAAGTGGTGATCAGTTTGAAGGAACAGCCAGATGGACAATAGCTAGAGACCATGACAGGGAAATGGCTTTTTTTTGTACCTATGTCTTAAAAGTATATATAGGAAGCTACAAAACTAAGTACACAGGAAGTATTATACCAATATTATTATTATTCATTTAATACTAAAATACATTTAATTCATTAAAATCATTAATATTTTTTCTCTCATAACTTTTCCTTATAATACATTTATTATAATTTTTATTTTTCAATAAATAATAATAATAATGATAATAAATGTTTTGCAGGTAAAGTGGAGTATGTGAATGACCGGGTGGGGAAGTTAACAGTTTGAACATTTGAGGGATGAATATGTTTATTATTGATATTATTGTAGAGTAAAATAAGACACCTCTGATAACACAAATGAACTAGGCAAGATGGCTTAAAATAAAGAACTCAAAATGAGTGATGGGGAATCTGTTGGTGTCAGTCAAAAAGAATTCTAATGATAATTGTAGCAGACTGTAGTTTTTTACGCATTGTGATATGAACATGAGTGGAACTCCTGAAATAAAGTCCACTACAAATATTTGGCTGACTAGCGATTGAGTCAAACCAAAAGAAAATGTAACAGAAAAACAAGAAACTGTTATACATGTACAAACAAATATGTATATTAGACAACAAAAAGGGTTTACAAAAGACATAATTAATGCGTGTATGTATGAATATAAAGTGTTTGTGTTTCAAAGTATGTTTGTGTGTGTGTGTGTGTGTGTGTGCATAATGTTCATGGTGGCTTTCCAAGGAAAAGCATAGCCCCGGCCTCCGCCACACACACACAAAAGGGAAAAAGCAATCTTCTGTGAGAGCTTTACATGGTCACAGTGTCTGCTGAAAATTCAAGAGAGAGAGAACAAAGTATTCTCAAGTATTTATACTTTAGAGATAGTGACCCCTAGGAACAATTTGTACAATCAGGAAATTAAGGAGGAGTTAACTCCAACAATGTAATGGTGAGTAGGCTAAGCAAGACATAAGATTATAACTGCTAGAACTGAGTTATAACAGTGGCAATGAGAAATCAAAACTCATACGAAGTAGGAAAAAGTACTTTTTGCTTTGGCACACATGGTAACAGTGACGATGAGAAATTAGAACCATGTTGGTTTAATTTTTTTCTATTGTGAGTGTAAGAGAAAAACATTCTTTAAATATGGAAGAATTATTAGCACAAGTGGTAAAAACAGCAGCTGTTGGAACTTCAAAAACAACAAAATTTAATTGAAATAATACAGGAGAAAATGGAAAATTCCCCATAACAGAATTTACATACACTTCAGATGATAGAACTACATTTTCTGCTTACTTTAGAAGATACAAATAAATTTTCAGAAGAATGCAGCAACTGGGAAGATGAGAAAGAAACATGAAAAATACTGTAATTTTGCACTGCCAATAAAACCAGGAGAAATTTGCTTTGAAGAAACAGTAAATATTCTGACTAAAATTTTTAGCAAGAAAAGTTTGTTATTCAATACTCATTAAAAGTGTATGAATCTGACAAAAAAAGAAGACAAGACATAAATCTGAAACAAGATACAAAAGAAATTGAAGAAAAAGTATGCATATACATACAAGCTAAAGAAAATGTGGAAAAAGAAAAATTAATCAATGCTTCAGATGTGAAAAGTTACATCTTAGAGACAATTGTCCCTTTAAGAATTCAAAGTGCTACAAGTGTGGAAAAGTAGGACATAAAAAGTCCCACTGTAAAACTAAATACAGAAAATCAAACAAAATTTCTGTATGTGAAAATTAATAATGCTGATGTAAAAATGCAACTAGACACTGGTAGTGATATCAATAATCAACAAAACCATGTGGAAAGCAAGTGGAAAACCTATATTAAAAAGAAATTTGAAAGTTGCATGTGGCATGTAGGGTAAGAAATTATTTTTTTATTGGTGAAATGACTTGTAACTTTTCATTTCATAAGTGTGCAAAAGCTAAGTTTTATGTGTTAAAAAACACTACAAACTTATTCGGTACTGACTGGATGGAATTATTTGAATTGTGGGATTTACCTATAAATATTTATTGCAAAAATGTAAGTTGACAAAAAAATATAAATAAATAAAATAAAAAAAAAATAAAATAAAATAAAAAAATAAAATAAAAAATAAAAAAAAATAGAAATAAAATAAATAAAAATAGAAATAAAATAAATAAAAATAGAAATAAAAAAAAAAAATAAAAATAAAATAAAAAATAGAAATAAAATTTTTAAAAAATAAACAAATAAAAATAAAAAATAAAAAATAAAAAAAATAAAATGAAAATTTAGAAGAAGAATTGAAAAAAATGTTTTCAAGATTTCAGATGAGTTGGGTTGGTGTTCAAAAGGCAAAACAAAATTTCATATGAAAAAAGGGTTGACATCAGTGTTTAAACCAAAACATAGTGTACCATTCACAGCATTGCATCAAGTCAATGAAGAATTAGACAGACTTGAAAAAAATAGATGTAATTGAAAAGATTGACCATTCAAAATGGGCAGCATCAGCAGTGTATGTAAAAAAAAAAAAAATATATAAATAAATAAAATTTTTGTTTGTGATGATTTTTCAACAGGCTTAAACAAATTAAGAATCCTATAACAAAGAGTATGAGTTCAATACCTGGTTAAGGCGGTGGAGAACTTGGAGAGGGGAATTAACAGGAGATAACTGATAACTGACATCCATTAGACATGGCATGTAGAACTAGAACAGTCTACCCCAGCGAGTGAAATAAATAGTTCAGTTCAACATTCCAACCACCTGAAGAAGGCCGGAGCGTACAAAGGCCGAAACATTGTGATAAATATGGCAACAAAGATGAGGACAATAGTCCAAAAAAGGTAAATAGTGTAAATAATATTTGCAGTGCAAAAGTTTGACAAATTTATACACAGGAGTTTTTGTTTACAGACGGAATACTGTCCTCTGTTATCAGTTTATAGTTTAAAAAAAGAAATTCCTATGCATACAGCAAATAAATTACAATGTTAGGGTACCATCTTATTAAATTATGATTTCAGGATGGAATACCAACCATCCCAAAAATTAGGACATACTGATGGTTTATCAAGATTGATACCAAAAAATACTGAACCGTTTGAGGACAGTGTTATTGCAGCATTAAAAAATGAAATAGAAATTTAAAATAAGTTATGGAATGTAGTATGCAAATTACCAGTTACCGTAGAAGAAATAAAAGTAAAAACAGAACAAGACATGTTTATTTCAAAAATAAAAAAACAACTAAAAGAAAGTATGAAGGATAGACAATTTTTAGAATCCAATCCAGACTTGAATGCTTACTTACTATGTGATGGAGTACTGTTGATTGCACAATGAGTAGTAATATCTATCATATTACAAAAACAGATATTAAATGGATTTCAAAGTGGACATCCAGCAATTTTAAGGATGAAATCTCTTATGAGAAGCTATGTATGGATCAAAACATTGAAAAATTAGTAAAAGCCATCAAAAGTTGTGCTCTGGCTGCAAAATCACCTCCCATAAAATTACAACCTTGGCCAAAGACAGATGGTCAAGACTGCATATAGATTCAAATCATATGACTTGATACCAGAGGCAAACAGACAGAAATTTAGAAACTATAGAAAACTAGAAACACAGTCATATGTAGAATTTGTAAGACAAAATGAAACATACTTCGATAGGTGAAGCTTAGCAAGAGAAGTGGGGAATGATTATGAGTAGTTGATTTTAATGGAAGAATTTATGAATGGCCTAAGTGAATAATGGGAGAAAAGAAAACAGAAAGCATTCATGAATTAGCCATATTAGTGAACATTTATGCTTTAACTTACAGAAAAGGTAAGATCAGGCCAAGTTACTCAGACGTATCTGGAGGGTAGAATACCAACTGAGGGATGAATGATATCACACCAGGTAGGAATGTACAGCAGAAAACCAATTGTCATTTGAATGGACGGGAACTTCGATGAGTCACATGTTACTACTGTGGGAAGATGGGACATATTTTGACGAATTGTAGAAGTCAACAAAGTGGTGGAATGAAAAACTTGGGTCAGGGCAAGCTGCATGTGAAAAATGATAACAGTAAATCTAACATCAGAATATTAAGGGACATCACAATCCCTCTTACTGTGAAGTAGCCTACCAAAGGATGTCAATTCAGCAACCAGCAGCCGAGTCAATATAAAAAATGTCAGAAGTAAATCTATCAATATACCTATTCACCGAGTGAACATCGTCAAAAGTAATTTCAGGAACTAGAAATGTGAGAATAGTCATTGAACTCACCTATGGAAGGCATAGGTATGTTGATGGAAAACGAGTTAGTGGAAAGAAAGGTAGCGATAGCATATGATTCTGCAGGCACCAAAAGTGAATTTTGATGGGAGTGGTAGAACACTCACCGAAAACGAACTTTTTTTAAAAAATTTTTCTATCTTCTCTTTTTCTTTTCTTACTTTGCATGTTATTGAATTAAATTGTTTATCTTAAATCCACGTGTTCGCTGTCTTTCTTTCACCAATTATCAGTTTTTGTATGACTTGTTCTTAATCTGTAGATATCTTTTCCTTGCATGAATCCAGGAAATCATACCCTGAGTAAAATCATGTTCTGGCTTAAAATATAAATGTAATTTATGCCAGAGGCCTTGGCTGTGTTCGGGCCCATAGCATCTAAAATATTCGGAACAAAAGTAAAATGTAGCTGAAATTAGCTTATCTGCATAGGAATTTATAGTGGTACCAACTTTCAGCTTCATATTTTAACAAATTTATAAGGTGCCAAAATTGACAAAACTATGATTTTGGCATAACAAGCTTTTTTAGAAAATCATTTTAATCCTAGATAAAAGTTTGTCCATAAAATAAGACTTCTATCACATTATCTTTAGATGATAAAAATGTAAAAATTTTCTTAAATTGCCTAACTGGTCCGCTGTTATGAAAATAGGTAATTTTAAGGATGTCAAAGGAAAAAGAAAAATATCAATCAATTTTTAAACAGTAATACCAACATTACTATAAAAGGAATGAAGATATTTACTGCATATAAACAATCTATTAGGTCATAAATGACAAGGAAACTAATTTGAATGTTGTATATGACACAATTTGTAAATGAGAAGCATATTTTTGCATTTTGGCCACTTTCAGGTCCTTTGGAATATTTGTCCCGGCTTTCCCACAGGAAAGGGTGGAGGTTAAAAATGCAACAAAATTGAAAAAAAGCAACAACAGCCTGAAAGGTTAGAGTGGACAATTCTCTATTTTTAGGTGGATCTTTCAGGTGGAAGAATAAAGACTCAAATCCCTGCTTGGTGTGTAAACAATAAAGGAGGAAAATATTTATTTACATGCACAAAAAAGGGTATAAGCATATACACAATTACGAGAGAAAGAAAGAGAGAAGAAAATTCCTTTAACTTTAAAGGAAGAAAAAACTGTTCATAAAAAAAGAAAAGGCTTGCTCAAAATATTTCTCTGAGCACCTAAAGCGAGTAGTAGATTGTTGTTTAAAGGTTAAAACACTTAGATTTGTTCAGAGTTCTTGTAAAGGTGGAAACTGTTGGAAGATACAAATTTCGTAGTTGAGCGAGTTCGTAGGTGCAAGGAGGCAGATCTCAATTGGTTTTTAGTGGTGGGCTGATGTTCTTTCTCAGCAGTCCATAGTAGGTAGTTCTTTCTTGAAGATGACTGCTTTTTTTGCCACCAACCTATGTCACAGATGGTGGTCAAATACTCACTGCCAAACAAGCGTAAATTATCCGTATTTATGAAGATTAGGAGTCTCAGAAAATATCAGGGACTTTTCCCTCCAAAATTGCTATACAAATTTCCTGGCCATTTCATTTGTTAGAAAATATATTCTTATCTCTGATAAGAATCAAAATTTTGGGAGTTGCTTTTTGGAAGCAAGGGTCCAACAAGTTGTGAGCATTATCCCCAGACTTCATGGCACCAAGGACAGGATAATGATGTTCAAACTACTTTTGATATTTTTCAGCTCTATTGTTAGTCAGAAAATATATTTTTATCTTTGATAAGAATCAAGGCTTTTGGAGCCGGATTTGAAAGCTGGGAAAAAAGTTCGGATGAGAATGAGAAAAAGAGGTTAAAATGTGAACCAGTAACATATTGTAGTTGTGGTTCTCAAATTAAATTCTAATACCTTATAAAAATAAATGTACATAAAAACAAACCTAAGCTGTTTATAATTTTATAATCTACAGTAAAGATTAATGATTGTCACCAAGTTTTGAATCTGTAGATGTAAATAATTGAGTTATGGATGTCAGAAGCTCATTGAAATCCATATATCACAAAACACAAAAAATTCACTGAAATTTTAAGGGGCTCTGATTTTGAAACTATTAAAAGGTACAGACCTCCACAACTTCCACTCCTTTGTAGCTCTTGTCTTTTTACTATCTCTCCTAAACCTTGTTCTGCCATTCATTTACTCAAGCTTGCTAGATAGGTTACGCATTGTTCTCCACTGACCATCTTGCATTCAATCAATTCTGTGAGTATCAAATTTTCCAGGTCTTTTTCCTCATTAAGTGCCCTAGAAATTTCAACTGTTTCTTCCTGATGTTAACTATGTGTCCTTTTTGTTTCCATTCTATCTAAAATTTCCTCATTGTTCACTTGTTTGGTCTATGGCATTCTCAGCATCCTTCTGTAGGACCACATTTCTGTTGCTTCAAATCTCTTCTTCATCTGTGAGGAGATTGTCCAAAATTCACTGCTATATAGGACGACTAATATTATAGAACAGGTCAATAGTCTTTCCTTAGTTTCTAATTGTTATGGTCCGGTTCCTTGTACCACTGTGATAGTCCAAGGTAGAACCAATAAAGAACTTGAACACAGGTATGGAACAACACAGATATATTACAAACAGGAATATATACAGAGAAGTAGAAGTGTTAGTATCAACAATCAGGTTTAGTAGCGAGAACAATGTAGTCTCGACCAGTATCATTATTCCAATGTCTTGCAGTAATTGTCTGAACGCGACTCTGTTTCGGACTGCCTCTGACTAGACTCTTGACTCGAACTACTCACTCAACTGACTCTTTGCCTACTCCTGAGGTGCAGTATTTATTAAGTATGGAATAGTCCATTATTATTATTATTATGGGTAAGATCCCATAACACTAATAAAGTTTTCAGGTTTCTTAACAATTTCCTTAGCTTTTGTAAGGCATCTTTCGCTATCCAAATGCACCTTCAGATTTCAATTTTGCACTTTCCACCCTCTGTTAAAACACTTCCCATATATCATTTCCCCACAACCATGTGCTGGCCATGTTCAGACTACATTTAAAGTCACTTGCAATGCATTTACATTATGTATGTAACCTTTTTTCTGTCAGTAAGGCTTGCCTTAAATTCTTAATCAGATTTTTTCATTCACTCTAAAGATTAAACAGTAGTAAATTATAGCAGTAGTGGGGAGGGGAGAGAAATAACATTCACAGTTGTGTTTTATCACTGACTGGATTTAAACATAAGACATAAATTTTGTTTATGACTTTACTGCTACTCCACCTATTTTACCAGTTTCCAAAACACACAATCAACACTGTATTTCAGTTTCTAGTCATTTTTTGTATTGGTAAAATATGTGTAGTTGTAGGGAAGAAAAACTGATGATTAAGACAAAAATTTCCAACATTACACCTAAAATTTGATTTCTCAAATGTTTTTTCCCACCCCAAGCAACTCAATAAAGCCACTAAGATGCAAGGGGATACTGAGTGTGAAAAGTAAAAGATTATTAAGATGAGAGAAAAATAAAAGAACAGTAATTAAAACAAAAGAAAATGATTGACATTGTATTTAAAGTTTTGAAGAGTTAACTGGAAAGCAAGATGCTGCAAGAGAAGAAACTGTTAGCATAGAACTTACAGTTACATCCATTAAGGTGGATGCTTTATTTTTAAAAATAATAATATAAGTTCAAGACTAAAGGAATATTATTCCAGTACGAATTTGGATCCTTACAATTTAACAATTACCTTTTCTGTTCTGAACCTTCTTGTCAATAGCAGCCATTAACTCAGCCTTCATTTCTTCATCAGTCATCTCAGGTCGCATAACCTCAAGTAAATCCTGCACATTATCAACTTTCTCCCCCAAGGCCTCATTGCCTTGCTCATCTTTGTCCTTCTCAATTTCAAACGTTGTGTTTAATTGCTCTTTGACTTCGTCATCATTACCAGCAACTTCAGCTTTTGTTGCCTGGAAGAAGATTGAAAAAAATAAATAAATGAAATGAAATGTTGATAAATTTCATTGGCATATATCAACAGTTATAATGAATATTGCAGCTGTTTCTTCTTAACTGCTATTCTCTAAGTGGTAATTGCCAAGGCTTGCCAGGTTTGTCAAACAGAAACACAAGACATCCTGTTCAAATTTAAATTTAAATTCAAATACAAGGAGCTACCAAAAAATTCTCAGCTAGTCTCACTTCCTAAAGCCTGAACAAACATCGTAATTGGTCAGACTGAGAACTTTTCAGTGTGTCCTCAAACATCAGTAAATTGATACAAAATAATATTATTGCATAGGATAAACTTGTATACAAAAATCACTATGAGAAATCATTTTAATTGAAATTTGAACAATGTACCCTGTATTTCTAGTTTGGTAAATCTGTCAACCCTAGACCTACCTCTAGAATTAATTTGTTTTTGTTATCATAGTATGTCAATGACTGAATGATAATCAACACTACAAACAATAACAATGTTTATCAGGTGAACAAGATTCATGCTTTACTCAAGGGTGTTGATGAATAAGTAGCCGTAGCCAATAATAAAAGTCACCTTTAAAAAGAAAATTTAATATTTTCATTATAACTACTCTATTTTCATTATGCCATATTTGATGCCATATAAGATAAACTTTTAAGAATAGGAAAATAAAGATAGCATTGTATTTTATCTGCAAAGCTGAGGCTTCCTGTACGCTGTAACAGAAGATGTTTACTTCTACTGAACCGGACTTCATAAGTATATGATTTACTTGATATTATTATTACCAGTGCCATCACATGATCAAAGGATTTTTGTGAGAGCTGTTTGTACCAAAATGGAGATTGATGAGGCCAGGAGATTAGCAGAAGAATGAAAGATACAGAACTTTACAGAACCAGAATGTTAGTGTTATGTTGTATCCTTAAAGAGGTTACAAATGGACAAAGGTGGTATTCAAGTGAAGGAACAGCAACACGTGTGTAGACGAAAGAAAGAGAGGTTTATTGTAAAAGAGAATACACTACTAAAAGACAGGGAATCAGGTGGCAGACTAGTAATTTCTGAAGCAAGTCCCCAGGTATATCCTGTGCTCACTATAGATATCTACTGATATAGTCAGTCCACATAGGTGATAGCAGGGTTTATCGATACACAAAAATATTCATTGCACAGAAAATGCCAACTGATTATGAAAGGAAAAATAAAAAAAAAGTTTTTTTTTGTTTTTTTTTTCCTGTCAATGTACTTGGTTAAAAGTGGGATGGGTGGAATTCTAATATGCCTCTGCATATTTTATGCTATCTGTCTATATTTCTGAGGTGAGGTATTATATACACTATTGTCGGACTATTGGTGACAAAGATGAGGACAAATCCAAAACAATAATAAACAAGTTCAAATAATCTTTTGTGCTATCAAATGCAGTAACTGGAAGGTCAGACTTAGGCCTGCTGCTGATAACATTTAACCCAGTACAACTTGTGACATGGGTGGGTCGTTGGTGTCTAAACCAGCTCCTCTACTAGCTTTTCTGCTGGTGAGGAGGATGGCATGTCACCTCACAGAACAAAAAATAAAAACTATCAAAGGGCAGATGAGTTTCTTATAGGAACCAACAGTCAACATATACACACACACATATACACACACAATAGAATTTTGGGGATAATAAATACACATATACCTATGTTTGTGGTGCATGCATATACAGTCGTTAATATCTTGTTATTTAGTTTATTCACACTTATACAGTGTAACCCGGATATAAGAGAGTTGTCGGGACCGGAGAAGAAGTCTCTTATATACGGGTTTCTCTTATATCCGGGTTTGGTCTATTTTATATACATTAACACAGGCTCTAATTTGGGACCAGAGAAAATCTCTCTTATATCTGGGTTTCTTATATCCGGGTTATACTGTAATTATTTTATACAGAAAATTACTTAACTGTAATTGTACAATCCTTGGCGTTCTTCTCTCGACCCTGACTTTGAAATTTTATAGAAACATCCAGTTTTCAAGGGTCCATTAATTAAATAAATATATTCCTGATTTCTGTGTTTTTTTACATTTTTACTTTTGTGCCTTTTCAATTCAGTTATGTACATGCACATGTCCATGAGTTTTGCATTTGCTTACATGTTCATTCATAAGCATAATATTTTTCTAATTATGAATTTTTCTTCCAATATAAAAAAAAATATATATATATATATATATATATATATATATATATATATATATATATATATATATATAAGAGGCTAGGATGGGATCTTACACCTTGAAAGGCAATCTTCCTAGAGATAGTGTCTTGTTAAAAACTGTGTACTTTAACTACTGTCAGTGCCTAATTTGAGTGTTAGCAAGAGCCTCTGACCTTGTAAAACCTTGCCTCAAATCATTATGACAAATCCTTTGTCAAGCAGGACCCACCTTAATTTCTGCAAGATTAATATCCCAGTGCTCCCTTGGAAAAAAAAAAAAAAAAAAAAAAAAAAAACACGGCGGGAAGGCGGTTGGAGCTCTGTCTATGTCAGGAGAAAAATAATAAAAAAAAATCCTGCATAGAAAATCCCCCAAATTTCTAACACTAACAGTAAAGAGCAACACAATAACTTCAACTAATTCTATTTCTCCCATTTTTCTGTTGACTAAGCAAATGTCTAACTAACAATTTAAACTGTTTAACCAAAATAAGGAGCAGAAAGGACCATTAAAAAAAGCAGCTTTTGTCGCTATTGAGCTGCTAGATTAAAGCCAGAGGAGAGATCAGCTGCCATGATCTAGTCACCGAGAGTTTGGGAGTTGCACCCATATACCATTGTATCATCAGCATACATCTTAGGCAGATCATTTATGTAGAAGAAGAGGAGGGTTGCACTGAGAAGTGAACCTTGGGATGTTGTTAATAAAGTATAGAGGGGAGAGATATATTCAAAAGATCAGATCATACTTTGTCTTGTCACTGAATTTTGTCTCTTTTCTCCAGGCTGTTTCATAACTTCTTCTCATGGTGACACACATCTCCTGGCTTCATATTGCTAAAGATACAATAGTATAACAATATTTGGGGTAAGTGAAATAAAATCTTTGAAAGACCTTGCAGAAGACACACACACACTATATATATATATATATATATATATATATATATATATATATAAAATAAAATGATCAATTAAGAAAACACCTTAAAAATCCATATCAGTTATAATTTATTTTATGAATATTGTTATATTCATCTCTTCAGACGAAACATTTTTAAGAAAAAAAATCTAAGATTTTTTTTTTCTTAAAAATATTAAGTTTGTAGAGATGAATATAACAATATACATGAAATAAATTATAACCAATGTGGGTATTTAAGGTGTTTTCTTAATCTATCATTATATATTGCTCTGTAACTTACATTGAGCTCTCATTAGATTAAAGTCCTCCTTGGAACAATCCCTACCAATTCCAAACTGGTATTTTATATATATATATATCTTACTTATTATAAAACGCAGATTATGTGTGTGTGTCTGTTCGTTTATATATGGAATCGTATTTCCTACATTTTTCAACCAATTTCAACAAAACTTCACAGGACTACGTAAAATTACCCGGCGGTGGTTCTGACAGCGCCAAAAATTGGAAAAACAATTGTTTTTGCACAAAATCAATTTGAAAGCATGGGTAAGGGTATCGCACCTGGCCGGAAGTTACTGCTGGCTACTCAAACATCCAAATGCCGTTAACTTCCGGTGACTCAGCGATTTTTTTCAGAGAACGATACACAAAAAGTAAAACAAATGAAACATAAACATACACAAGTCCTCCTAACTAAAAATAATAACCGGAAACTACTTTAAATACACATGGTGTCCAAATGAAACCTATGTGTACAGTCAAAATGCGGAAGTTAATTTTTAGTCATCAACCGAAATATATTGCCAACTGGCTACAATGCTAACTGCAGCCGACATAAATACAGCCGATTTCTTCCACCAAGCAACTCTATTTGTCCCTTTTCCTATCATTCTCTTGCATTCCTATCTATATTTGATCTTAATAATTATATATATATATATATATATATATATATATATATATATATATATATAAATAAAAAAACAGATGCAAACTATGCCTGGAAGAAAAAATTAAAATAATTAAGTACAAAAATACAAGCCAGTTATTGAACCAGTGAAATGAAATTATACTTAAATGTCATCATAAAACTAAGTTTATATAGTCTTAAAAATAGACATTTATTTTGCATCAAACACTGAAAAATATATATTAAATTTGTAACTATGTGAGTTTATATATATATATATATATATATATATATATATATATATATATAGGTATGTATGTATCTATCTATTACTTTTATTACTATTATTATTACTTTAAATATATCATATATGTTTTTTTTATTACTAATAAATGATGATGATGATGTTCAAATGAATAACAACATAGATTGCATTTCTGTGATTTTTATTACTGGTTGCACAGTTAAAGTTTTATCCATAAAATTTTCCCCTACCTTCCCTTACTGCAATATTCTCAAAAAAAATCTAAAGTAGGATCTGTAATGTAATCGGTACTGAATTAGCTTCTTGACTTCAGCCACTTTCTCACAGACGTGATGTGGCTTCCCTCTGTCTTTTCTACAAATATTTTCATGGCTACTGCACTGATGAGCATTTTTTCCCTGGTGCCTCGATGACATGAATTTAAGTGTACTACTAGATTGGCATCTAGGTCCCAACTTTTTACTGTTGAAATAGTTAAATGTAACTGCGCTTCTAACAGTTTCTTTCCTCGCACTTCTCCATATTGGAACTCCATTCCTCTCACTAGCTTCCCTGATAACTACAATCATCAAAAACCTAAATGCAACTTCAGTCACCATGTTTTGTTGCGTTGATACCTGTTCTTTTTTCCTTTCTTCAATCCCCCCTACACCCACACTTTTCTCTCATT